AATTGGTTTATGATCTACCAAAAATTAAAATTACACTCCATGGAAAACATGTAAATGGATTTCCCCTTGTTATTCTTCTGGGGAGCATAGAGCTTCCACAAATCAGCGTCATCTTACTCGGTTAGTCCTAGGTAGATGATTGGTCCACAGTAGCCTGTTCTTGGTGATGGGACTGCCATCTATCGTTGCATAGAAACAACACCTCCCTGAATTTTGTGCAGTGGTTGAAGTCCTTGCTTATTGTAGTATTGGTCCTAGATCCACATTAAGAATCATCTTATATCGTCTAGTTGAATCGATATGGATGTGTATGGTTATAATTATGATTATAACGAATTTTTGCTGAATTTCGAATTTAGCAAAGGATGACACCTATAGGTGATTGAGTAATGTTTAGGGGTGCAAGCGACTATCGATCTGCAGGCCACAATTCTAATTCTAACAACTTTTGTAACATTTAGTGTTGCTGATGGCTTGTTCACTCGTGGTTTTGACTTTCAATGTGAACCATTCCCCATAATTTTCATACCACACACATATACATGAAAATATTTCCCTTACTTTGAATATGTCGCCATCTATCTGCCAATCGAAAATTACCATCAACGCCAATTTGTACTGGTGACGATGTTGTCGATAGCGATAATAATGATGATGTTTGGCAAGGTGCTTTAATTACAGCCTCTGCCAAAAGGCGCCATATCTGTGTATCTGTGTCATTTAGACTATAATTTGTTGGTATAGTATTTTCATGGAACCTCTCTCAATCTCCGCAAACAATTTTAATCTCTCAGTTACTTAAGTAATTTCCATCAATTGTTTTGCTGGTTTTTTTCTCCGTATTGTTCTGCAGTCACCTAAATTGGCATTCAGAGGTAATAAAAAATCCCCTACACCGTCATACACATATTTATTTCAAAATCTAGTCGCTATTATTTCCATAAACTTGGTTGTTGTTGCTTTGGCTCGGCTTTGCTCGATTAACCCAAACACCTCTAAACTTGACCCATGACCATTGAACGCAGCCCATCGAGCAACGTCAATGAGACGTCAGTGTAAATACGCATACCAGTGGCTGGTTGGCTGGCCTGCCACCACAGAATTATTATATCATGTAGAAATAATAACAAAAACATCGTATAAAAAACTTTAGAGAATTAAACAAAGCTTATTTTGCATTTATTTTAGCGCGGACTGGCCACTTAAAGATGTTATTAAATGTTTTTTATTTAGATTTTTGTTTTTGTTCAGTACATTTTTTAATGATAACCGGTATAAGGCTCTAATGCAAATTACAAGGTGTATTGTCGTTCATACATATAAATATTGAAATAATACATGGGCAATTGTCTGATAACTATGTGTGTAGTTAAATGTAACATTTCCCTTGACCTGCGGTGTGTCTTCACTTTAATGGGTCACCTAAAATTTTTACATTTTTAGTAATTATTTTAGGAATCGTAATGTTGTAATACAATCGAAATTGTTTGTAACGACATATCGGTTATAACGAAGGTTACCGCTATATCCCGAAAGTTCTGCCCTTTATTTTGATATCGCTTACAACTACTACGACTTCTTACAGCCTCAAATTTCTCCGGTCACTTGCCCGTCGTTATAAGCGATTTCGACTGTACTTATATTTGGAGATCGATTCGATAAGTTTTAATTAAAATGTATTTACTCGTATTAAGTTTTTCAAAAAGGTGTATAGCTAAATTCTGGCTTCACAATATCTGACCTTGTATAAATTTTAATGAAACTTCTGTCTCTAACCTAATATCGCTGTTAAGCTACATTAACAGCGATATTAGGTTATGTAGCAAATCATAATTTATTCCCAAAAAAAATATTGTGTGGTTGTTTTCAGAACAGAAGATACACAATATTTTTTTTCTTTTCTGATACAGGCTAAGCATTGTTCACCTTTATTAAATATAATAAACTTCAGAATTTATTATGGAGTAAATATGTAGTTTGTTAATTTGAAAGGATTTGTCATCAATGAATGTTTTTGTTTATTTTTTCGAGGAAAAAATTCATGTTTGAATTTCTTTAATATCTCTGAATCATGATGTGATATTGAAAGTTGTAAATAAGTGCTTGTGAATACAGTCGAACTTCTATAAATTGTAATTATAATAAATTCCACAAGGCGAAGTTGTTTCCGGGATGGAAGTTAGACGTGAGGTCATTCTGTTTGCAACACATTCAAATATTCGTCGAGGGAAATGGCAGTACTTAAAATAACTTCTAAATTAGCAAGGACTCCAACCACTGCACATATTTTAAGGAGTCGTTGGGCTTAGACAACGATAGATGGCAGCCCAAATTGCCTAAGACAGGCGACATTAAACTAATCATCTACATAGTTTGAGTTCAAAAACCATTAACAAGACTGAAGCAAAGCAATATAAACAACAACAGGATTTCATGACAATGACGAAATAGGACGCGCATTTCTGGATCATGATGTAGTTTTGAATGTCACAAATAAGAGTTATGTGAATACAGTCGAAATTATAATTATTTCCACAATTTGAAGTTATTTTCGGGATAATGGTAGTTCGAAGTCATTCCGTTTGTAACACATTGAAATATTCGTCGTGAAAAATGGCAACACTTAAAAAACATCTAAATAAGCAAGGTCCCCAACCACTGCAAAGCATTTAAGGAGCCTTTACCCTCAGGCACGATAGATGGCAGCCCAATCGCCTAAGACAAGCTACAGTAAACTAATCATCTTCTTAGTTGGAATTCAAAAACGATTAATAAAACTGAAGCAAAGCGAAGGAAACAACTACAGGATTTTATGGCAATGATCTTCGGCACACAAAATAGGACGCCCATTGCGCAATGGCATTTACGAATTCTTCGTGAAGCATCGAGGTTTGAAAAAAACCAAATAAGATCGAAGTCTTAGGCATAACCGAAATGAGATTGAATAATAGCGATGAACTTCCAACAGAAAATGACAAATATGTACTATACAGTGGAAAAAAATACGGTGAAAGCGGAGTTGGAATCGTACTGTCGAAGTGCGCTCAAAAGTCGTTGGAGACATGGAAATCAATATCTGGCCGTGTGATACTCGATTCAAGAGCAATGTAAGAAAAGTCATCATAGCGCACGGAATACGATGATGGTACTGTGAAAGATGAATTCTGCTCTGAATCAAAAACCATGCTTAATGAAATTCGGAGGGGAAACATTGTGAAGGCTTATAATTTTCAGTTAATACAAAAACTCTACCCGGCCGATGGTCAATAACGTAGTGCCATTGCTGATTGAGTCTTTGAAATTATGAAAATTATCTGGAGGTCCATGGGAGAATCATTTTGACTGATGAAGCAAATTTCAACCATGGTGGCTACGTCAGCAAGCGAAGTTACCGCATCTGGGGCTTGGAAAACTCAAGAGTTATTGTTAAGAAGCCTATCCATTCGAATATCAGGGGGCTTTTTCTTCTCTTGGGAGCATATTGTTTTACAAAGCCTGTCCATCTTAACTGTCCTTGTATTGGCTTCGCTAATTGTTTAAATTCTAGCTATTGAGATGATTGATCTGCTGTGGCTTTCCCTAGGCTATAGAGCTGCCATCTATCGTTGCTTAGAAACAACATCCTCTTGTATTTTGTGCTGCAGTTTTGATCCTTGCTTATTTAGTGGTTCCATTTTCCTCGTGATGGCGCTATATCCTTTCATTCATATTTTGTGTTATCCCCATTTGTTGATGTTGATGCCGAGATTGGTAATTAGTCCTTTGGTCTGTTCCAGTACTTTTTTAATAGTAAATCTAGTAAAAGGGAAACATTTCAAAATTGCTCTCAGAGTACAAAATAATTTGAAAAGTTCGGGAACGCAAATCTAGTAAATATGCCAAAATTAAATGGCAATACTTCATAATCAACATAACAGCCAATCAGAAGTAGGCACCATTTTACTCTACCAAATTTCTCGAGTAAAAAGTTTTCAAAGAGAACGTCATTTTGTTTTGTGCTCTCTTAAATTTGAGTCAATGTTTTACCAGTTTTGTGGGTTGAGGAACGGGTTTCGAGTAAAAAGTTGGAAAATATGTAATATGAGTAGATTCTTTTAGGTTCTGGAACAGAACTCTTGTGTTATTTTCGTTGTTTTTATTGTTTTATTCCAGCTTATTGATCTGTTCTAGCCTAGCCCTAGGTTATAGGGCTGCCATCTATCGTTGCCTAGAAACAACGCCTTGAATTTTCTGCAGCGGTTTGGATCCTTGCTTAATAAATAGCGTAATATCTCCTGTCATTCTTATTTTTGTTATAATTTTCCTCGATATAGTGGTGCCATTTTCTTTTTAGTCCTTTTGGGGGCATAGGGCTTTAACAAAGCATAGTCATATTAACTGTCCTTGTGTTAGTTTCGTTAATTATTTGTTGCGTTTTCAGGACAGCTTCAAACAAGGACTACGCCCAATATTAATCTCGATATGATACTATAATTTCTTGACTTCATAATTTATTTCTTATATTGTTAATTTCGGTAAAATTATATTTTTATTTACTTTATTTATTATAATATATATTTTTTATTTAATAATTTAATTTTTTAAGTCAATTCATTTATTTATTTTTGTTTCGTTTTTTTCCTTTCTTTTCAGATAATGACAACCTTCAACAATGTACCAAATCAATAATTGGTACTTTTAGTACAAACAAACAGAAACTAAAATAAAATCACAACGACAAAAACATAGTCCAAATGATTTGTAATAATTATTGGAAAATACAACAACATCAACAAAAACATCATTTAACTACAAGTGATAGCTTTGACGTTAATGTCCTCTACAACAACAACGTTTTGGCCGCATAAGGAAAAACACCCTAACACTACCTAACTACGCACACACAAAAATCTACTTAAATTTTAGTTAGTATATTTTTATAAAAAATATAAAGGAAGAAAATTATTTTTTTCTTCTACACCAATATATCAACTCAAACGGTTTGATACCCAACACAACCCAACACAATGCAAGGTCCCGAACATGTTGTGTCATTCTATGTGGCAACCTGTGGACAAAATGGACCCGGTTTGGGTTCCGATGAAAAAGAAATCATATTGCTGGTCTATGTGATTTTGGAAGCGGCAACGGGACAGGTGAGATATATTATTTTTTTTATTTTACTTTTATTGTTTTTGTTTTGTTTTGTTTTTTGCCCAATCGCATTGAATTGCTTTGCAATTGTCAATTATATCGATTATTAAATAACTGTGTTTGTTGTTTTTATTTATTTGTTATTGTTTATTTGTATATACTATAATTTATAATTGTTTTTGAATGTATGTTATTGTTTGTATTAACTTTTTTTGTCTTGTGTTCATTTCGGGGTACGCCTACTTAAGCTCCATTGAAATGAAGGGAAACGCCATTGTATTCCGCGCTGTAAGGTTTTAATTAAGAAAACAACATGTAGAGGCATATTTTTATATGTATGTACAATGTACATACAAACATATGTATCGGACAGAGAACATAGATTGGCTATGGAATTGAAAGTCGCTTTTTAATTTTAAAGATGTACGCCATAATATGTTCTGTCAATTAGGGTTGTTGCCAATGGGGGCAAGAATTTGCTTTCATATTGGATTTTATATAGTTAATCAGACATCGGATGAGAGTGAGGCATTGGATATTAGTCTGTTATTCAACGAAAACAATTTTTTGAGAGAAATGATCGGAATTTTATTTCATAATCAGAAGGAAGTTATGCCGTTAATAATGAAAAACAAGTAAAAACGCATTTAGGATCGTTCGGACCGAACTTTTTGTACCCTACACCATGAGATTAACAATTAAAATACCATTGTTAACCAGCTTAATAAATGGTGAGTTATGCCATGGTAAATTTTTTTGAAGATTTGCATTTAACTGCACAGGGAATATTAAATAAAACCAGTAAGGAAAGTAGTCAAGTCTGTCGGGGCCGACTATATGATACCCTTCACAGTTTATTGTACAAAATTGTGTGGCAATCGGACAAACTTTGGGTCTTTAGTGCACAATTTACATAAAATCGGAAGAAAATATATATAGGAGCTATAACTAAATCTGATGGACTTTGGTGCACCATTTACAATAATTCGGACAAAAATATACATGGGAGCTATATCTAACTCGGAACCGATTATCACGAAACTTAACACACATCATTCTAGACTTTATTCAGCCTGCTATGCCAAATTTCGTGCAAATCGAAAGATATATGGGACTTTGGTACACCGTTTACCTTACGAAAATATGTATGGGAGCCATATCTAAATCTGAACCTATTTTCAGGAAACTTAACACACGTCATTCTAGACTTAATTTAGTACGCAATGCCAAATTTCGTGCAAATCGAATGGTATATAGGGACTTTGGTGCACCATTTACCTTAAATCGGACGAAAATATATATGGGAGTCATATCTAAATCTGAACCGATTTTTAGAAAACTTAACACACATCATTCTAGACCTAATTCATTACGCTATGCCAAATTTCGTAAAAAATCGAACGGTATATAGGGATTTTTGTACACCATTTACATTAAATTGGACGAAAATATATATGAGAACTATATCGAAGTCGGAACCGATTTTTCCCAATTTCAATGGAGTTCATCCTTGAGCCAAATAAATGAGCTGTGCCACATTTCGTCCAATTCCCATAATAAATGCATTATATGGGGGCTACTAGAAAAAGTGAACATATATTTATAATTTTTCGTGGAGAAATTTGTTATCCAAACGTACAAAACGGAAACCCGAATTTAATATAAAACCAGTAAGAAAAGTAGTAAAGTCGGACGGGGCAGACTATTCACCACTTTGGGTATATTCAACAGATGAATCCTAACAGACGTCACATTTTTAATGTAAAATGAAATTGGATCCATAAACATGTCATTCTGCAACCTATACTAAATAGAAGCTATATCTAAATCTGAACCGATTTCAACGATTTCAGGAAACATAAACCACCTAATTCATAACGCTGTGCCAAATTTCGTGCAAACCGAAAGATATATATTGACTTTAGTGAACCATTTACATAAAATCGGACAAAACTATATATAGAGCTATATTTAAATCTGAACCGATTTACTCGAAACTTAACACACGTCATTCAAGACTCAATTCAGTATACTATGCAAAATTTCGTGTAAATCAAAAGATATATATAGACTTTGGTGCACATTTACATAAAATCGGACGAAACTATATATAAAAGCTATATCTTAATCTGAACCGATTTTCACGAAACTTAGCACACATCATTGTAGGCCTAATTCAATACACTGTGCGAAATTTCGTTCAAATAGAAAGATATTTAGGGGCTTTGGTGCATCATTTACCTTAAATCGTACGAAACTATATATGGGAGCTATATCTAAATCTTGACCGATTTTCACGAAACTTGGCAGACATCATTCTAGATTCAATTCAGCACGTTATGCCAAATATCGTGCAAATCGAAGGATATATAGGGACTTTGGTGCACCATTTACATGAAATCGGACGAAACTATATATGGGAGCTATATCTAAATCTGGATAAATCGGTTAAATATATATATGGGAGCTATATCTAAATCTGAACCAATTTTTCCCAATTTCAATAGGGTTCGTCCTTGGGCCGAATAAGTGACCTATGCCAAATTTCATCCAATTCGGATCATAAATGCGACCTGTACTTTGTTTACAATTTAACATGGAAAGACGGACGGACGGACAGACAGACATGCGTAAATCGACTCAGAAAGTGATTCTATGCATATTTTCAAAAGGCACATATCTCGTTTCCTTTTGCCTGTTACAAACATATGCACAAAGACATAATACCCTGTACCACAGTGTGGTGAAGAGTATAAATACATTCAATTTTACATATGGCTTCGATTTTTACATATCGTAGTGATTTGAGTCTAGAATTATGTTTGTCATAATTTCTTTGAATCGGTTCCAATTTGTATATATGTATGTCTCATGTCTATTTTCGTTCGATTTCAAAATGAGGCGCCAATGATTCCACACATTTGTTCGATTGAAACAAAATCAGACATGTGTTACCATCCTGCGGCTAGAATAAGGATTTTGGTGTTTTTTGAAATCGATTTAGGTTTAGATATAGCTTTCATAAATAATTTTGTGCGATTTATGATTTAAATGGGTTACAAAAAATATACATACATATGTCTGTACAGTCGACACGAAAATGTGCATAGACTATCGACATGAAGCTAGAATAGTGAGTATTGAGTTTTCTTAAAATCGGCTCAGATTTAGATATATCTACAATATATATGTTCTGCGCCAAAGACACAAATATTATCCGATTAACACCACATTTTAATTTCGATATAGCTCCATATACATATGTATAAATTGTTTTTTTTTTCAATTGACACGAAATTTTACCAGGGCTGCCGACTAGAATTCAATATAATTCGAAAAAGCATAATTTAATTTAGGGTATAATATATAAGACCCTGTCCGACTTTGGTCCTTTTTAAGTCTATGTAAGTGTTGGGTCATTGTTAAAAATTTTGATCACATCTGTTTCCAAAGATAATTTTTTTAAATTATTATAATATTGCTCTAGTCATTTTTTTTCTATACTAAATTGACATTTGTTTTTATAAATGTAACTTTCTACTAACCACAAAAATATATAAATAACAAAAAAAATGTCGAATTTGCCAGTTTCCAGTTTTCTCCTGTTTGTCTTTTCTTGTCGCTTTTTTTGCAAACTAATTTGTTTATTGTTTTGTGGTGTGTTAGACAGACAACTGGATTTTTTTTTCATTGTATTTGTTGTGTGTGTGTGTTAAATACAATAATTTATTTGTTTTAAAAATTAGCAAATATTAAAGCAAATTTTTAAATGACACACAAAAAAGGAACAACAAAATGCACTAAAAAGATGTTAACTCATTCACTCACACTCTCTAATGCTCCTGCTTTTTTTTTGTTGGACTGCATAATTTTTATAAGACGCAATGATGCCATAAAGAGGGCATTGACAATTTTGTTGGTCTATTTTTTGTTGTCCAAAAAAAAAATCGTTTTCATTTTGTCTTGCGAAAAGTTAACTTGCAGACAGACGGTGGTCAAAACGGCTACTCTAATATTGGCCTGGTATGATAATTATTTGAGACCGGTTTCGGTTTCCATAGTCTTTTCTCAAAAAATAACGACAACAACAACAACAAAGGAATCGTTTGCTGTCAAAAAAATATATTTTAAATAATTATTTGCAATTAAATGCACACAGAAATAACTTAATTTGTATTGTTGTTGTTGTGGCTCTTGTGCTTGCATTATAAGGATTAGAGTGCTTATTTGGATTTATTGATATAAAAAAAAAAACAAAAAGAGTACAAATTTGTCACGGCCTAAAGTTATTCAACTTGTCAATATATATTTTAGATAGGTACATGCATTGGATACCTTACTAATTTATTTTTATATAAATATAATAATTTTTGTGATGTTAACTGAACTTTTTATACCCACCACCAAGAGGGTTACAATCAAAATATCTAATGGGGACTTCTAGGAGAAAACTCATGTTATGATAGGACCTTGAACATACCGAAAAATACGTGAGAAAAATATGATTGAAATTCTTAAAATATTTAATAGTGGGGCTTCCGTTATATGGGTATAATAAAACGGAGATCAATATCGATATTTTTGGAAGTGAGATTTGACAGCCAATGAGAATACAAAATACCATATTACATCCCATTCGGTTGAAAGACGTGTGCAAAATTCTCAAGATACAGACTTGGGTCAATATTAATAATAATTTTTAATAATTTAATCATTTTTAGAGCCGAAATGTGGTGATACTGCTATGAGAACCCAAAATACAGCCAATTTAATTGAAAAAGCCGTTTTTAAAATCCACATATTGCGGGGTACTTTATTATGGCGACTACCCTTAAACGTGGGTCAATGTTAAAATTTTTAGTATGGAGGTGTGATATGCAACGAGAAGCCAAAATTTTTGGTAAGGAGATGTGCTATTTCATGAGAATCCAAAATACCAAACTACAGCCAATTAGGTTGGAAAACCTGCCCAGAATACGGTTATATGGTACCTACCCTGAAA